CTTACCCCTGCGTGCTCCGACCCCTGCCCCTTACCCCTGCATGGCCTGACCCCTGCCCCTACCCCGTGTGTTCTGACCCCTGCCCCTTACCCCTGCGTGCTCTGACCCCTGTCCCTACCCCTGCATGCTCTGACCCCTGCCCCACCCCCGCGTGCTCTGACCCCTGCCTCTTACCCCTGCGTGCTCTGACCCCTGCCCCGTACCCCTGCCTGCTCTGACCCCTGCCCCTTACCCCTGCGTGCTCTGACCCCCGCCCTCTCCCTCTTCCCACCAGGATCCTGGTTGCCAACAACCAGCTCTTCAGCAGCTCCTACGACCGCACAGCTCGAGCCTGGAGCGTGGATGAGGGGCAGGTGTCCCAGGAGTTCCGGGGCCACCGCAACTGCGTGCTGACCCTAGCCTACTCTGCGCCCTGGGACCTGCCTGGGGCTCCGTGCGCCGAGGAGATTGGGGGGCTCCTGGTGACGGGCAGCACGGATGGCACGGCCAAGGTGTGGCAGGTGGCCAGTGGCTGTTGCCACCAGACGCTGCGGGGCCACACGGGGGCCGTGCTCTGCCTTGTGCTGGACACGCCCAGTCACACCGCCTTCACGGGCAGCACCGACACCACCATCCGTGCCTGGGACATCCTGAGCGGGGAGCAGCTGCGGGTGTTCAGGGAGCACCAGGGCTCTGTCATCTGTCTGGAGGTGAGATCTGCCGGGGAGGCCCCCGGGTCGTCCTCTGAGCCCTACCCCACGTGCTAGTTAGCTTGCCCGGGTAGCAGACGACCGCAGACGGGCGGCTTGCACGACAGAGACGGATGGTGTCACCGCTCTGAAGGCTGCAAGTCTGAGATCCAGGTGTTGGCCTGTAGCTGACTGTATTCTCACGTGGTCGTCCCTCTGTCTCCAGACGTCCCCTTCCTATAAGGACACCAGTCCTACTGGATTAGGTTCCACCCAAATGACCTCATTTTAACTTACCTACCTCCTTAAAGACCCTGTCTCCAAATACACTCACATTCACAGATACGAGGGTTAAGGCTGTTGTCAACGTAGGAATTTTGGTTTCTTTACATGTTAAGGGAGGATTGTGTCTACCCAGAAACCCTGGTCCATAATTCCTAAATCCAAACGTTCCACAACACGAAGTTGTGTGTGTGTGTGTGTGTTTAAGGCTTGGCACCAAAACTTACTTGGCAGCAAAGCCTGGCCTACACAGATAGGCTAGCTGGAGTTCACTTTACCCCTTTTCCTGGGACTATGAATTCCTTTGCTGTAGAAACATGAGCGTGTTGCTAAAATCCAAAAACTTCTGAACTACATCTGGCCCCAAGATTTTGGACCAGGGATTCTAACGTGAAAGCGCCCGCCCTTGGTGGTCATGAGGATCTCATAAACTAGTGGTGGACGTGGCCCAGACGTGACCCACATACAGGTGTCTGGTAGGTTGTGCTGTTGTTGTTGGGCATCAAACAGATATGTGCCCATGCTTATCTTTTCTCATTTTACACATGAGAAGACAGAGGCTCAGAGAGGGTAAGCAACTTGTCCAAGGCCTCACAGCTGGTAAGGGGCAGAGACAGACTGGAACCCAGGACTGAACATGTAACCAGCAGCGTATTTTTTTTTTTTTAAGATTCTAATCATTTATTTGAGAGAGAGAGTGAGAGAGAGCACAAGAGCAGGGTGAGGGGCAGAGAGAGAAGCAGACTCCCCGCTGAGCAGGGAGCCTGACGTGGGGCTCGATCCCGGGACCCCAGGATCATGACCTAAGCTGAAGGCAGACACTTAACCGACTGAGCCACCCAGGCGCCCCTAGCCAGCAGCTTATAAAGGCGTGACAGGGTCTGTACCTTGCCGGGGTGGGGGAGTCTTACCCCGGAGGCGGCGTGTCCGGAGCCCAGCTGTGCTCTGCAGCCTGGCCCAGCGGCTTCATTCCCCTGCCCAAGTGCATCTGCTGCCGTGAGCTGAGCAGGGAGAGGCCCGCACCCCGGGGGCCCCCACAGCAGAGGCCTCGTCCTGCCATCTGCTTGGATGGATTGCAGGGAGATGGCCCCAAGCCCTGTCCCCTCAGAGCTGTCTTGGCTGAGGGAAGTCTTGCAGGCCCTTTCCTTCGTGACATGCCCCTGTCAGGGTCTGTCTGCTTCCCCATGTGCCTCGGGCCTCCCCGAGCTGCCCGGCTGCTCCCCAGGGATGTCCTCGTAGGAAAGCAGCCAAAGTGAACAGTGAGGTCTCAGGCAGCCAAGGACAACACGCTTGGAGCATTTCCTGGGCCTCTGGACTCGTGACTCGTACTTTGAAATCGTGCCGCTGGGTCACTTTTAAACAGTGCGACAGGCCCCACGTTGTTGGGACACGCTGCGTGGGGAACAGGAGGTGTCATCCCTTTGCGCCGTGGAAGCTCAGCGCCTTCCTTGCATGGGCTGAGCAGCGCAGAGGTGCCCCGTGTCCCATGGGGGCCTCCAGCCCGCAGGCTACTCACGCCAGCCCCCTTAATTTCAGGTCTGTGAGGCTCAGTGGGCAGTTTGGGAAGCGTGGTCCCTGGAGGCCTGGGGCTGCCTCTGGAGCGACGGCTGATGGGTCAGGACACACGGGGGCATGGGGCGGGCACTGGGGCAGGAGGCCGTACGTGCTCCCCGAGACCCCACCGCCTCTGCCGTGGTGAATGGCCCAAAGCCAAGTTTGACCTGTGCTGTGGCTGGGGCAGAAATATAATCTGGACGAGTCAGAGTCCTGTCCTCTGGGATTTAAACTGGGAAATTATAGGGGGATCCTGGGTCAGCCGCGGGAACTGGAGTGGTAAGGGGCCCAGAGTGTGGCTGTCGTTGGGCAGGTGTGTGCTGGAGCTAGGAGGGCGTGGGCCATGGCAAGGATGCCGGGGGCCTGTACTCGCGCCAGGCCTGCTGCCCGCTGCCCCAGCAGAAGGGCCTCCTCTTTCCTAAGGCTCCAGGGGTCCCTGGGCCCCGGCTCTGGCACGAATGTCTCTCGCCAGGGCTCACAGCCACCCTCCTCACCTGATTTCTGGTTCTCCTCTGCCTCCCTGCTAACCAGAGCTGCTGGGCGGCGGCTCTCTTGGCTGCATGGGGATTTTGTCTAGAGGAACCTACAGAAATATTTTATTCGTCTTCGCACTTTCCCTGGGCCAGGACACTGGCTGTCTTGGCAAGGGGTGCTCCTGTGAGGGGCCTCCCCCAGCCATGCCTTCTCTCCCAGGCCCTTGCTTTCCTCCTGCGACACCGAGCAGGGGTGTGAATGCCACTCTGGTCAGCTGGGGCAGGCGGGAAGTCGGGGAGCCTGTCTCCAGGGCTCCTCCCTCCCCACCTGGGCAGCCCCGGGAGCCCTTTCCTCAGCCGGGACAATCGAGGGAACGGCTGGCACGGCCGGCCGTAGCTACAGGTGGATTCACCGGAACCTTTCAGGCGCCGACTGTTCTTCAGCAGGAACCGCCCACGAGAGACGCCTGACAACAGTAACAACACGCGCGAACATTCCGTGCTCCTTACTCCTAGTGCTGAGCGCTGCGCGGGCCTTCTCTGCGCCCCCGACGGGAGCCTGGCGGCATGCCGACTTCCGCTGCGGGGGAGCAGTCAGTGACGGGGCCGAGGGCAAAGTGACAAGATTCTTGGGTGCTGGAGCCGGCAGCTGGGTGGGTCCTCACAGGCAGGGTCTTTCCCGCTCGTCCACGTTCCCAGTGAGACCTGTAGGGGCCCCTCCCCCGTCACACAGAGCGGTCTGGAGGGGGCTCCGAGTCACCTGCCACGGCCAGCAGCACCAGAGTCCAGCGCCACCCCCCCTCCTCCCCCGCAGCTCGTGAACCGGCACGTGTATTCGGGCAGCGCCGACAGGACGGTCAAGTGCTGGCTGGCCGACACCGGGGAGCGCGTGCGCACGTTTGCAGCCCACCGACACAGCGTGAGCGCCCTCAAGTACCACGCAGGCACCTGTAAGTGACTCCTGTCCCCGGCTGGCCCCACGCTGCCCCCACGCTGCCCCCACCAGCCCGCACCTGCCTGGGCTCGTCCCTCCTCGCCCCCACCAAATCCTCCCACCCTCGGGGCCTCTGCGCCCTACTTCTTACTGGACCGTTCCCTCCTGAGCCTCAGCGGCCATTCGGGGTGGTCAGCAGCCGAGCCTCCTCCATGCACGTGTGCCTCCAGGGTTGTTTTTTTTCAAGCTTTTTTTTTTTTTTTAAGATTTTACTTATTTTTATTTATTTGACACAGAGAGAGAGAGTGAGAGAGAGAGCGCAAGCAGGGGGCGGGGCAGAGGCAGAGGGAGAAGCAGACTCTCCGCCGAGCAGGGAGCC